GTGTGTGTGTGTGTGCGCGCGCGCTTTGTTTGCAGTTAAACACAAAGGTACACAATGGGCTATCTGTGCTCTGCCCACCACGGGTATCGACACCCTGTTTCTAGCGTTACATGTCCGCTGGCATACCGCTGTGCCACTGGGGGGAGGGCGTGCGTGCGTGCGGGAAAGATTTTTTTACCTTGTTGTCTAAAAAGTACATTCATACACACACACCATGTATGAATTCAGATCTTGAACTGCTCATTATCAAAGGTCGTAAAATTTGATGAGAGTTTACATCAACTCAATTTTTAGCATCATTTACGTTAACGATTTGTTGAACTATAATTACATTAAATTCATTACAGATTCCGCTTGTTTGGCAAGTTTTTGTCAGGCCTAAATCAGTTGTTCTCAGAGCACTGAAGTCGCAAACTACCAAAATGAAAAATTATAATATTATATTTAATTTCTTTGATAGATAACTGATTAAATTTGATAACATTTTAAAAATGGATTTAAATATGGATTACAGCATCAAAAAGGTAATACTATCTATAAAATAAGCAATTAAGAATATTTTTGATTAACTTATTTCTATTAGCTCTCTAAAAGTTCTTAAGAAAACACACATTTTTTTAATATATAGCTGTTCAATCTGTTTAATCGTTTAAGTTACATTTGCGTACTAATCCTATTATCTGAATGAGAGTTAAGAGGTTTACAAGAATGAAAGACCACTCCAACCTAGACTTGATTGTACTATTGTCTAATGGCCTCAGCAAAAGGAACATATTATAACATTTCAAAAGTTGCCGTTTATTCAAAAAGAAAAAAAACTACAAAGACAACATAGGTCGCGATCTTGGTACGTTGCCATTTCAAAACCAAACGTTTTGGAAAAGCTTCAACGCTCTTAAAATGTATTCCTATATTTTACAACCAATGGTTAATACTTCTCCTAATATACACTTGTTTAGTTCCTTCTGCACCCATAACGAATTCGTTTATAATGGTTAATACTTCTCCTAATATACACTTGTTTAGTTCCTTCTGTACCCATAACGAATTCGTTTATAATGGTTAATACTTCTCCTAATATACACTTGTTTAGTTCCTTCTGTACCCATAACGAATTCGTTTATAATGGTTAATACTTCTCCTAATATACACTTGTTTAGTTCCTTCTGTACCCATCACGAATTCGTTTATAATGTATATTTTGACTGTCATAAAAATAGTTACTGTCGTTAAATACTTCCCATACACGATATGCCATCTATACGAGTCTGTGACATTTCGTCACGGCATCCACATCGTTACGAAAGGTTTCGTTACAGTACGTTTTTTACTAGATTCACCACTTCCTGACTTAAGTACCGGAGGACATTATCTCACCCCCATAGCGTTATGTAATTTCTGAATGGTCCCCAAATGATTGTACAATTGAGGACCTATTACATTTTTTAAAATTATGATCACCATCAATCAGTTTTATATTTAAAAAACTACCTGTCACAAAAATCAGTATTCATAACAAAAACTGCTATATCATAAAACATGAAGCAACATGAATGCACCCGTCACAAACTGTCATAGTAGTAATAATGTGGCGGTAATGAAACGTCCAGTAACAAAATGTTTTCCGTTATTCTGTAGAACAGATCTTGTTGTGTATACTATTCAAATAATTTAAAAACACTATTACCTGACTTCTATTGTTAAAAATGATGAATGTATTATCAGTATATCTTCTACAGTAAATAATATCCGGTTTATAGTAGAAAATTTTTATCACTACAGAACTCCTACCTGTATTTTGAATCGATCTTCCGACATTCCAGGCGCTACCACAAAAACTTGTTTCATCAAAGGTTCATTAGAAAGTGCAACTTTTCCAAGTACAGAATTATCAACAGGCAAATCTCTCCAACATAAAACCTGAGCAAGAAGAAATTACAATTTCACTACGATCAAAAACAATACAGAAAAGTAAAAAGTATACGATAAGTGTGTGGTGTTATTAGTGTAATCATATTTAATCGTTTCATAGCTAGTACAGGATACATCTTTATTCAAAATGTGCATGCAGTAAACCGAGTGTACAAGGGTCGTACGCTTGCAGTAATATTCTTGCTTGGATAAAGATTACATACTACAACGGCTATTCCATTGATACTTGTACCTGTTTGGCCATGTTTCTGTGTCTGCTTCATGGAGCGGAATTTAGCTCGATTCAAAGAATGATACAGAGACTTGTGAAAGTTAATACGAATCGAAGTTCTTTTTGTATACGTTTATTAACTTGGAGTAATTGTTGCCCTAGGTAACTTAAGGACTAAGAGATACCATATTAAAACCCTGGTCTGACTTTAAAGTGTGATATTTCATTATTCTTGTTTTGTTCCTTGCGGACGTTTCGGGAACTTTTTTTACTTCCCTCAGCCAGTTACAATCATTCTATGAAACTCAGAAACCAGCTAATAAATTAAAGACTTGCAATTTATACAATCATGAATAAAGATTCGATTCATCAATGGATGGACGCATTAGTTACCTAAGCACAGGGGCTATTCTCTATTTAGCCTAAAGTGTGAAATGAATTAAATTTCAATTTTTAAAAGAATCAAAATTAATAAAATTTATAATGATAAATCTTAAATGTTCAACTCCCTGTAAAATAGAAAAAACTTTAAGAGTGAATCATTCTATGATATTAGTCCCGCCCGACCCCTAAAGCAGTGAAAACTGCAAAGATCAAAAGGGCATCGTTAAAAGGTTGCTATACGATAACACATTATCCGACGATAGCTAAATATGGAAAACTGGCCAGTCATTTGACATGTACATTTAATAATCCATAAAACCAAAATACCACAGAAAGGGAAAAGATGATCACTGTAAAAATAAAAATCGCGTTAAAGTAAATGATCGGTTCTCAAACCTTAAGATTATTTTCTTGTACAATGTCTTCAAAGAGTTTCAGAGCTCTAGAAGAAGACGTGCGATCTAAGAAGATGATTCCCGTTGCGTACTTCCCACCAGGTGGCAATTGCTCTCCTTGCTCTTCCCTGTAGGGATACATCAAGGTTTCATTAACTTCATATATTAGCACGATATACAAATCTCTAGAAAATTCAACAAATTAAAAAACGGTTTTTATACAATACGTCGAATTTAAAAGTCTATTGGTAATATAAAGAAACAACAGGTGCTTAATTTAGATTAACGCGCTACGTTTAAGGAAATTAGTTTATGTACTAGTTCTGGAATGCCTATCTCATCTTACTTGAGGACCTTCCTGTAGAATGAATCTGGAATCGCAGAGAGGACACCTGCTCCATCGCCAGTGTTGTTGTCACAAGAGCATGCTCCTCTGTGTTCCATTCTCCGGGAAACTGTGGCAGCATCTCTTATGAGCTTAAAAGGGGATAAAAGAATGTTTATTTTAATATAGTAGACCCTTACTATACTATTCAGTTTCTCCAGTTTCCGATATTTGGTATTGGGAAAAGATTAATCTTGTTATCCAGCTAAATTATTGCTATAATAATTCTTTAATTATCACATATCAAAACTCGTCAAATTAAAAGTATTTGTATTTAAAGATATTGGATAAAAGATGGCACCACATGAAGCAACTCAAAACTGTTTCTAACGAGTTCAACTTACTTGTATAATTGTGAAATAAAAAGTTATGGACTAAGAGATTTTTCGAAAATATTTTACTCGTGTTCGGTTAGAGAAAGTCTTCGAATTTTTGAATTAGTTTTTGTCTTTTCTTTTATACAGCTTATACATAATAAATCAGCTCCTATTACTCTTACGGCACTCTTAAACTAACACACAAATTAAGTTTTTATAAACTAAAGAAATTTTTTTTTTAAATTGACTATTACAAAAATTATAAACAATTCTATAATTTATTTATTGGCTACTAAAAATTATTACTGAAATATCTGAAACCACTAAAGAATCAAATAGTGAAAAGACATGCCTAAAAGAATACACTATGCTTCTCTGTACACAGTTTTACTTGGTATGGTTAATCGTAATAAAGACATTACATACTTGATTAGAAGGAATTCCATCAACATTCACAACGAAGCCTACACCACAAGCTTCTTTTTCGTACTGGGGATCATACAACCCACGTGCTTGAGGATATCCATATAACAATGGCATCTCCGTCATAACTATCGACGGAAAAACAACCGAATGTAATAAAGTTAAGGTTAAGATTTAGTAAATTAAAACGATAAGAGTTTCAATGTTTTGTACACACAGAGTTCTATTAACTTTTCTATAAATGCTAGCCTCAATTAAGTTGGATTTAAATATAAAAAAAATACCTGGTTGTTACAACGACTAGTTTATTTCAGGTTGTGCTTCGTTCAGTTTCAATAGGCTCGTTTTTTGTTGTTGTTTTTCTTTTTAGAAAGTATAAGCACGTCTGGAAAAAGAAATAAGACGCTCATTGAAGTGTGCTTCCTTTCTATCTTGCAAAATAAATTGCCCTACCTGAAGGCGATAGTGGTTGTTAAATTTAAAAAAAAAAAAAGTTATTTCGATTAAATATATTTTGAAACTAGCCATTTGTTTTAAAATGAAAAGAAAAAAGAAACTTTTACCAGAGATCAGTAAAATTAATTCGGCTACATAAACATTTGGCATTGTTTCAAAAAAAAAGTATTTAAAAAAGTCGTATGGTTTTCTTTCCTTTAACATTAGTTAACTTCTCACAATTTTCTTCTTGTTCAGAAAATATTTTTTATGGGTGTATTTCAAGGAAGTCAGACATATCATTAATATCCAGATTATTATGTTAGTTAATACATGTGCAGTTTTTCTCCTTCTGTTAAACAAGAAGGGATTTGAGGAATATTACCATGCAAGTATTTATAGAGATAAATCTATAGGCTTTTATACTGTTTTTATTATTAAAGGTAATTAGGTGCGTGCTTGAGAACAAGCCGATTCACATTTACTGCTGTCAAGTTTCCAGCTTGTATTGTAGTAGTAGTGAACGAGGGAGGACTAAATCTCGGGGGGATGGGGGGGGGCAAGATAAGAATATATATCATTCTATAATACATTTCAATCTATAAAAGTTCAAATGTATTATAGAATTAGAGACGTACAAATCGTACTTGTGTCTTGAACGTTTCAAATTATACAAAGAAAACAACAGCATAGAATATTCATACATATGTAATATATATTTAAAGAACACCTTTATATTTTAACGTCAGTTACTGATGAATGGTTTTCAAAAATTGGTTAAATAAGAAGAAATTCAGCTAGACGTCATAAGTTAGCTGGCAACGCGTCTGCTCTCCTCATTTATAGATTCATCGTATAGCCGAAGTAGTCTTTTATGTACAAATTTTTTTATCGTTAGCCACAAAAACAATACTCGTCCATAAACAACAATATTCATAGTTTTCCCAATAGGGTCCCTCGGTGGGTCAATAATAAGTTTACGGACTTCCGGTGCAAATTCTGGAGTTCTATTCTCCGCAGTGAACAAATCGCTCGTGGTATAACTCTGAACTAAAAATCAAACAAAAGCTTTCTCCATCAGAAACATTCGAATATACGAACGTAAACATTCTAACACATCTTCATAATCTATTCGTGAAAGGAGACGAAAATGTAAATTACGAACATCAATCATAACCATTGACTACTAGAAAACTTTTTGCCGATTTTATTTGGAGGGGGAGCAATCTTTAGCTTCGTTAGATTGTTCATTAATCCGGCCCTGGTGGTGTTAAAGTTGGTTAAAACATTTTAACAGAACCATTCAATTAACTTACAAACTTCTGGTTGCGTCATACGAGAGTTAAGTTTCTGAAATGGCTAATAACGTGAATATAAACATGACGCTAAACTAAAATCCAATCTGCTCAAGTTAAGATCTTCTTTAGCGTGTTTGTAAATGTGTTCCTCCTTGTAATGAGGAATGGCAGAATCTTACGTTCAGAATATGTCTTACAATACTCGTGCAAAAAGACGTTTTAAGACGTTAATAAACTTTCTGTAAAGAAAAAAAAATAATGCTACAAACATGATTTGTTTGCAAATTTCAATAATTAACTTTGAATGTTTGCCCAAAATTAAATGAGTGAATACTTTAGTAAAATAGAATGTTTATTATTATACAGCAGTGAAAAAAAAGGCTAAACTCCCATAATTTGTATTTGGGAGGGGGGATATTTACTAATGGTGTAAGGACCAGTGACGGTTCTGCAGAAAGGCCAGGGATAACACCGTCAAGTTTTGCCAAACCTCTCAATACTAAGACAATGTGTGTATATATAAAAAAAAGTTTATTTATATAGTTGTTACAATAAAAGTATTAACATCCAAATATGAACAGTATAAATAGATGATAGCAGTGCAAGGCAAGTCTGAAGACATCTCAAAGACAGTGTTTAATTCTAGCAGTGCATGTCTGAAGACATCTCAAAGACAGTGTTTAATTCTTATCGGGAATTTAATAATGGGGGTGGAGATTATACAGCTGTAAATGTTTAACTTTTAATGATGAATTTCCGTAGACTTACACATTCGTATATTTTGAAATGGCAGAGCTTGCACTAGGGGAGCTATGCCCCCTTAAGTCGCCAACTTAAGAAGTTTTACACAGGCGAACAGAAAACTTAAAACAATAGATTTACAATAGGGCCACTACATTTGGTGGCTTCTCTGTGATTAAAAATGGTTTATGTTGTAGTATGGGATCAAATCTCAAGTACGCAGGAATAGTGTATATGTAGTGTTATCAAACCTGTTGTTGAATTAACTAGGACAAAAGACAAATAATGTAAAGTTTTAATAGAGTCGAACAAATAATGACTTCAGAAAGACGTTAAAAACGAAAAAAAAACAGCATACGCAATAAACTAGTTTAGGCCCATACAATTTAAATACACGGGGTACCACATGCAAACAAAGAACGATGGTTACCACCAGATAGAATATAACACAAAAGCTTTTGTTTTGTTTTTCTGCTTCACTCGTGAATTGCGGTGTCCAGTTAAGTGATAAAACGGTAACCGAGATAATTGGCTCTGCTTCACTCGTGAATTGCGGTGTCCAGTTAAGTGATAAAACGGTAACCGAGATAATTGGCTCTGCTTCACTCATGAATTGCGGTGTCCAGTTAAGTGATAAAACGGTAACTGAGGTAATTGGCTCTGCTTCACTCGTGAATTGCGGTGTCCAGTTAAGTGATAAAACGGTAACCGAGATAATTGGCTCACATATTAAGATAAATTTAATTGAAAGAGCTGCTTGTAATACACTTTAAGTTCGCATAATAATTCAAACAAATTGTCAGTTTATTGGAAACGCTTCATTTATTTATTTATTTTGCCGACTATTTTTCAGCTAATAGAAAAGACCAAAGACTAAAACCAGAACCAGATTTCAAGTCATCCTTCGATCTTTGTGAACAACCTCAATTTTGGAAGATAAATGTCCCCTTTTATCTATTATTAGCCCCAAAATAAACTGAAACGATGTAGAAAACAAAAATATGATCAAAAGTATGTTTATTTTGGTTTTGAATTTTGCGCAAAGCTACACGAGGGCAGTGTAAGACTAGAGGGAAGGCAGCTAGTCATCACCACCCACCGCCAACTCTTGGGCTACTCTTTTACTAACGAATAGTGGGATTGACCGTCACACGGCTGAAAGGGCGAGCATGTTTGGTGTGACGGGGATTCGAACCCACGACCCTCAAATTGCGAGTCGAGCGCCCCTAACCACCTGGCCTACAAAATTATGAATCATATCTCGTAAGAGGTATTCAACTAATTAAAATGTTTTGAAAATCTCTTCTATCCGAACCTTCGTCTTGTATACTTCATTTGTAATTTTGTTTTTGAGAGGTAAATAAAAATTGAATGATTTTAAAAATCTTGAAAATGTTTATATGTATACAATATGCAGCGTTAACACAACATGGGGTGAAATAAAACCTACAATATGAATTTACAAAATATATATATACTGATCAACTTAAAGTATATATTGACGGACATTAAAATTAAGAAAATATAGATTATATAAATTGTTTTCGTCTACAATTTCAAGATCACGGATAGTAGCATCTAAAGCTCTTATTTGGGTACAGTATTATATGCACGAAAATTTAAAGAATTAAATAGATCTGATCGCTTAGATATAGAGGGCGTTTTATGCAGAGTGTTGATAGGCGATATAAGAGCGGTTGTAGGACAGTCAGTGAACGTTCTTGAAAGGGTCATTGTCCTACATCGAACTCTGGTCGGAAGGTGTTAAAGTCGCTTCTTTATCTCACAGTTTATCACAACAAAGTCAATCGCGTAAACAACTTACAATTATTGAAACAAATGTTCTTGGTCGACATATTTAATATATTATCCTTTAATATGAAAAAAATGGACCAAACTGGAAAGTTATTTATAATAAAGATTAATTTTTTTTTTTTTTCACAAACTTCGAATATTTTCTGTTTCATACACCGCGTTCAAATAAAGGATGCATCTTTTTAAATGTAGCTCTTACTTCTTATTGCCCGCCAGTGGCACAGCGGTATGTCTGCGGAAATACAACACTATAAACCAGGTTTCGATACCCGTGGTGGGCAGAGCATAGATAGCTCATTGTGTAGCTTTGTGCTTAACTTCAGACAAACATTAATGCTGATTTCAGAAATAAATTAAAATTTGGAGAAATGAAAAGAAATATATTTTTTTTATATTTTACTTACGAAAATAGAGGAAGTACTTTTAGCATCATATGTATTTAAAAGAACTGCTAGACAAAGTATCTAGTGTCAATGTAACAAATTCAATGTGAAAATTCAGAGATATTCTTAAATATTTCCTTGAAGAGATCATCATTTTCGTGCCTACGACGCCAAACGAACTCGCAGAGATACGAGCCAATCATGTTACGATTGGTTCCAGGATGTCGCTTGTTACGCCACCTAACCACATTCTGAGTACTTTCCATCTGCTGCAGATTTCAGAAATATAAATTAAAATTTTGATAATTAATTTTTTATAGGGGGAGAGAATGGGAAAATATTGATTAAAAATTTTCTAATTATTATTATTTATTTAAATAAACATGCAAGTATTTACTAATTAGTCTAATTTGATCTAACCTTTCATAAACTGACGTAACCTAGCAAAAAAAACTACATTCAAAAATGTATATTTCTTTCTATTTGAACGCAGTTCATGAAACAGAAAAGATTCCAAACTTCAAGTATAACAACTGATCTTTTCCTTTCGGCACCCACCAACAGATCGTTTGGAAAATAACACAAGTAATGTAGGCCCGGCATGGCCAGGTGGTTAGGGCGCTCGACTCGCAATCTACGGGTCGCTGGTTCGAATCCCCGTCACAACAAACATTCTTGCTCCTTTCAGCCGTGGAGGCGTTATAATGTGACGGTCAATCCCACTATTCGTTGGTAAAAGAGTAGCCCAAGAGTTGGCGGTGGGTGGTGATGACTAGCTCTAGTCTTACACTGCTAAATTAGGGACGGTTAGCGCAGATAGCCCTCGTGTAGCCTTGCTCGAAATTCATAATAACAAACAAAAAAAACAAACCAGTAATGCAATAAAATAATTAATAGTTAATAAAACATTATATGATATTTATTTAGCGATTTTAAACAATATTTATTTGAATAAATCTTCATCTTTGTTTCTCCATGGGAGAGTCGAGCATTTGGCGACGAGTTCCACACTGACGCTTATTTCTTCGCTTTAAACTGTGCCACATACTTTCAATATTTTGGATAAGGCTACAAGTTTGAGGATCTACAAAATTTCACTGTGATTTACAGTTTCATACCAGTAAAAATAACCTTCCACGTTCGGGATGTTGGGTGGGCACCAAACGGTAAATATCCATAACATGTTTTAAGTGACAAACAACAACACACAATTATGTTCATATTCGAAGATTTACGAGAGGTTCACCAAGTTTCGCCTCACTGCGGATCATTAAAAGCTTCTAAGCCTTGTGAGTGTTAAAAACTCGTCACCACTTCTTTCATTTGTACTGTTGTTGTTGAATTTCTAGCAAAGCTATTCTTTTACAATATGGTATCAAGCGTCAATTACTTCGTCCTGATGTTCTCTCTCTCTCTCTATCTCTCTCTCAGATGTACAAGAGTCAGTGACGTGTTAGAGGTTTTACCACGTGCGTCAATGACTAAGCATATTCTTTGCATCTCACCAAAACGGATGAGATATCCCAAAGTTATTGAAGACGCTGGTTTTTTTTTTGGTTTTTTTTTTTTTTTTTT